TTGAAGATGTGACTTAAATATATACGTATGCATATGAATATGTGGTTATACAAGAAGGTTAGTCGAAAGAGGTGTGTCGCCTTGTATTTGTTTATTGGTACATAAATGTTTACAGTACGAAATAAATATTAAAAACAACGGTATATGCATTTGGCAGGCAAACATATCCCCACAATACTACAATTGACCAGCGATGGCGTTGAGTTGTCAATAAAATACTTATTTTTAATAGGTGTTGCATACTTTCAGGCATTTTCGAAAAGTTGTCACTGTTTTGATTAAAATATTTGCAAATATGACCTAAAAGTCAGCTTGATTACATGTCAGTACTTTTCCTTTATAAAAGAAATGTATACGGAAAAAATGATTGCCTACTTTAAGGCGTAAATGCCAAGGGGTGGCTGAAAAATATCCTTTTATGAATAGATGCCGCGTTTTTGTGCATATAAGACGCATTTACATGATTTCGTCGTCCATTTGTCGTCGTCAATTTGCATATATTGCATTAAGCAGCGACGCCGAGTGAAAGGATATGCCAAGCAGCATTTAATCTCCTTACACCAGATATGTATTGACATGGCTGACGCTGAGTTGTGCTCAGTGACATTGTAGTGGAGGTAAATATGTAGCCATACAAAGGTTGAATGGTGTTGAAGGGTGTTTGTGTGCCAAGGTGAGTTTTAACTAGCTGCTAATCGTAGGCTCTGGTGTCCTTGTGTCTCTCGCAACTGTCATTCAGCTCAAATTCTGCTCCCTGCTTGACTGTATACACCTTTATATTATACATTTTCTGTTCTCTAGCTACTCTCTTATCTCTGCCTACCTCCTCAGCCTAATATCCCTTTGCGTTCAGCAGCCGCTGTATACTCTCTCCACTGCCTGTCTGTTAATTGAATTTGCTAGCAGATAATAGCACATCGATAAGGTCAACGTTAGCATTGTTGTTGCTGTCGTCATTTTCGTTGTCGTTTTGTGTACACGCAAACAGCTTTCCACTTTCGGCGGTTTGTGGTAAATTGTAAACATTATATAATAGAGTTGCATAGTTTTGGGCGTCGACGCCGCGTCGCAATTAAATGTAACACAATCGTTTGAATTTTGCGTGGGTAGTCGTAGTGATAGACATGTTGGTTGCTATCGTTAAATAAATTTGTCTCCTTTGTGGTGTTGTAAATGTGCGAAAATCTGTTTTCATGCAATTTAAATTAATTGCGAGTTTTGTACGTGTGTACGTGTGTGAGTGGTGAAAGTGTTGCTTTACGTATTGTAGATATTTTCGCTCTTAAAGTAATTAAGAATTTTTAAGAAAAGTCGCTTGAATGTTGAAATAAGTTAAGAAATCAAATTCTGTTGCCTACATTTAGGCGCCAGTTTGTTAATTTTTTGAAGCACTAAGCATGCTAAAATTTTGTCAACAATTCCGAAAAACTCGCGTTTTTCTGAAGAAATTTCGTATATATTTGGAAAAATGATGTGTCATAAGTGCTGCCTACATTTGGGCGCTTTTTAGTTAATTAATTTTTACTTTTTTTTTAACAATTATTTTTTATTTTTTATTGCATTTTTCGGAATGTCGAAATTGGTTTGGAGAAAAATTAAATAAATAAGAAATGATCATGAGGCAATATTTTGGTGTACTAAGAAGTTATTTCCAAAATAAATTGGAAGGAAAATTAAAACCAAAATTTTAATATAAGAAATCAATAAAAAACCATAAATAAAATAAATGTATGTGAATTTTTTTTAACAATTTTACCTCTTTGAAGACTTTTATTTTGTAAATTTTTTTTATTTAATTTTATCTATAATTTAATTCATTATTCTTTTATGAATTAAGTAGTTCCTTTTATTTTTAATTGGTTTGGATTGCAAAAAAAAAATAATTAATAAGCTTCAAATATTTATGAAAAAATATTTAAGCGTACTGATTGGATTAATAAATATAAATAAACAAAAAATAAATATAAAAAAATAATAAAAATAATAATAAAAAAATAGAAAAAGAATTTTTAAATATTTTTGATGCAAAATTTTTTCCAAAAAGTTTCGCTTGAAAATGCCTATGTATTGAGAAAAAATTTCAGTTATTTTTCATCTCAATCACCGCTTGAATCTGCATGCCATGCCGCGTTACCTTTATGAAAGGCTCTTCTTTCTTTATCCTTTTCTGTTGGTGTGCGATTGCTTTTAAATTTTGTTGGTCATACGAGGCGTGCTTATTTATTTAGGTCGTTTCTTCTGACCCTTCACACAAACACACACACACACATACACACACACACACAAATATGATGTCCTTTTGCAATATTATATGCTGAAAATTAACATTTAATTCGAAGGTCCTTGTTATTTAAGCTATAAAAAAAACAGCCGCAAATAACAAAGACACAGATGCGCATACACAAACCTATAAATAAACGCCATCACCTACCAATTTGATAGGCGCGAATGATACTCGTATATATGTACATAAAGAAAATTTAGCTGCGTGTTGGGCTTTTAGTACCAGCTGAAAAAACAACTGCTTTTTGTTGTGTTTGCACAAATAACACTTTTCTAATTATTGTTGTTGCTGTGCGGTGGTATCCTTTTCATGCCGCTCGCTATTTGTTATTTGCTTTGTACCCTAGCGCGCGTACGCACACACATAAAATCCGGTTTTCATGTTCAATGGCGATCCCTTTTCACAATTTTCGGTATGCGTATCTGTATGCACTGTGTGTTTATCGGTTTTATTTGCATTTGAGCGGCGTGTGTGTGCGTATGTATATGTGTGTGTTTTTAGGCGTAAATGCAAATGCGAATGGGAAATGTGAAATTAAAGTGCGACCAACATGAAATTCAAGTGCGCAGCGGTGCATATGCTGGTTTATACGTACACACACACATATACAGATATATATAGATACCTGAGAACATGCGTACATATATATAGAAATATACAAACATGAAAGCATATGGCACATCAAGTTGTATTTGTCGCAGCAAATTATGCAAATAAGTGTGTCAGAACAAATATATGACATGTATGTGTGTATGTATGTATGTGTATATGTGTGCGTGAAGCAAACACAAAAAGTCTGGGCCCTAAAAGTGTCACGTAGCAGCTGACATACGCGGAAATTGGTATGCCATGTAATTATCTATGTACTGCGTAACTGATACTCAGTATGGCAACATATGTACCTACATATGTATATATGTCATTTGTATGCTGAGCGTGTAGCAGCCTGTTAGGGCGTCGAAAATTAATTGAACTGCACTTTGGCTCATGAGTGTGGAGGTATTTTAGTAAGGTTTAGAAAGCTTCACATAAACCTATTCTTGGCACTGGTCACGGGTTTCACAAAAAGCACTGCATACTTTTAGGAGCTGTTGGGTATCGGAAGGTATTCCCTTTTCAGATTCTTGTTCACCAGCTCACTGTTTATTTAAAGTACAAGCCTGTTGGTGGTGCTGACTGCAAGTTAACCACCTACTCATATGATGAACGGTGCTTGTGGTTCGGAGTAAATTCAAAGTTATCTAAGTGTTGAGCAGCCAGAAGTGGTCTCGTTCACAAAAGGTGGAACGTTTCTCATTCAATCGGAAAATGCAAAATTCCAGAAGTGGCTCTTTTCTAGATAAGTGTGTATACTTCGATGCAAATTCAGACAACAAGCGCTTCTAGAGTGCAAATTTTGTGGAGAGTGTAAATAAAGCTACAGTGGTCTTATATGCGTTGCTCTGGGAACGTTCTCGGCAAGCCTCTCTGTTGGGATCTACATAATCATCATTGTTTTACGGAGCTTTCGTTTGATGAAAGTCGATGGAAACTGTTACTTACAAGCGGCTCTGATAAGCAACTGAGAATCGTAATAACAAATTTTTTACCAATCTTCCACTTGCACCATTTTCACCATAATGTCTGTGAACATTGATGGCAGCTCTATCGCTGCTAGAGTTAGTATTCTAATAAGGGAGTGTGAATGCCGTCGTCGGTCGAATCATCGTACTTGACTTTAACCCAACTGTGATGTGGTGCTCCATACATCAAGCAACTGTCACCAGGTACCAGCCTCTCTATGATATTTTCAATATAGAAAGACTGAAGCAAAGAAATCCTAAGCTTCGTCATCTGTTGGCCCTTAACTTGTGGGATAGGAGGGTAGATAAATTTTTGATGTGAACTATTTTATGGCATTATTTGTAGTCTTTCTTACATACCATAGTTGCTTTTTCCAGAGTGAGATGAGTTCGATTAAAGAAAGATTGAAGTTATTTCTTCCGACACAGCTTTTATTCAGATAACTAAGCGGTTATCACTACACTGCTGTCACTGTTGGTGAGTACCAAAACTGCAGGGATATGCCTACAATCACAGTCACAGTCACAGTCCGTCGCGTTAACTCTTATCAAAGTAAAAATCATAAGGATATCGGTCCACAGTGGAGTCGTCGAGAACTTCAAAGTAAATAAGTTTAACTCAGCTTGAGTGAAAGCTTTGACTCAGTTCCTTGGGTGCTGAAAAAAGAGCCAAAAATGGACCGAAAAAGATCAGTGATAGTGCTTTTCCAAGGCTTGGAATTTTGCCGGATCGATGTTGATTGAAATCTTCCTGATAGTTCTTTTATGAGAGGATGAAATGGCCGTATATGACAACTGTGTTGTTTGTATATGTAAGAAATACATTTGAACGCGCTGTCATTCCCTGTCGAGGGGCAATGGTAGTTGGAAAAATGAGCAGCGGGAGCCCGTTTGTGACACCTTCCCAGCTAAGAGGTCAGATTTTCAAGGTGAATGCACCAAATCAAAGTCTTACTACGTTTTCTATTGTCGTCATAAACAAGAAGATATCTTTCTCACTTCGGTGCTGGTCTTTTCATGGCTCGTTTATAACCTACCTCACATCTACGCCAAGGTTTTAAATGGAATCCACTTAGATAGCGAATCGCTCGCTTCCAGACTCTGTAGACTTTTCTACTCTCTATGTGAATATTTAATTTCTAATTTAAACTTACCAAAAATATCGCCACCCATGCCATTCCGATATTATCAAATGATATTGTGCCTTGAAACGGATTATTGCCAAACTCTAGGCAATCCCTATAATATTGATTCCAATTGACGCAGGAGGTATTTGTTGGTAGATTGTCACTGAATATGGAGGCTTTTTCTGGGAAAGAAACGAACAAGAAATTTGATGTTTTAATTATTATATTTATTTTTATATTATATTTTAGTTAAAATTTTCTCCATAAGAGGAAAATCGCCTCAAATTTATTGAATTGTTATTATTAAAATTTTTATGATATGTAAAATAAATTTAAATATTTATTTAAATAAATTTCTGTATAGTTTGTTATAGAAAATATTGAAAAAAAAAATGAAATCATTGAAGGGATGCCAATTCTTTTCCGTTTAGTAAAAACTAATACATTATTTTTCGTTGGCGCTAGAAATATGAGATTTCGTACTAAAAAAGACAACGAAAGGATTGTCGAAAAAAGTAACAAACAATCAAAGTAGATTTCAAAAAATGTTTGCCTCACTTTTATCAAAATTAGCATACGGGGGGAATTTAACATTTACCTTTATTTTTAAGAAATATTTGTGGTGTTTCTTTTGGTAAAATGCTATTAAAAATATTACCAAGAAACAACCAAATATTAAAAAAAAAAAATAATTGCTGAGCCCGCCTCGTGCCAATATTTCCGCCACATTTTAAAATAATTGCTCCATAGAAATTGGCCACGGAAATATACCTCGAACAACTGCAATTATTGTTAATTGACGCTTACTTTAGGGTTTCCCTTTATTTTTCACTCTTTTACGTATATTTTTTTCCTTTAAAAAACTGCTTGTCCACTGATGTGTTAAATTACGGTGCAAAATGTTTTGAGTTACAATAGGAAATAAAATTAGAGAAAATAATAATGGCAGAAATAAATTTGTCCAACAAATTTGGTACACAGCCAAGTTAGATGGCGCCTAAAATTATGTTACATTGTAAGTGAAAATTTCTAGCGACAAGTGCAAGGTGTCTAACTAAGTTGCTTTCATCAAATTTTTGGAAGGCGGAAATTCTATTATTATTATTGTCAGAAGGTTTAGGAGCGTTTATTGAGGCCACTGCTTGAACAGAGTGACCGTTATTGATAAAATTTTAAACTCCAAAAAAATATTTGTTTTAGTAAATTTTTGTTATACTTAGTAATACAATTTTACGAAACACTATCACGAATCAAGCACATTTTCAGTGAAAAATATATGAAACAGGATTGCCAGCTGTTGAAATTTTCTATATGAAAAAAAAAACATTTATTATACTAATAAAAAAAAGTTAATAAAAAGTTTACAATTAGCATCTCAAAGTGTTCACCTAAACGCATTTTTCAGCAGGGTTGCCGTTATTAAAAAATTTCAAAACAGCTTGGAAAAAATATATATAAACGCATTAATTGTATGGAAAATTTTAAGGGATACGAAAAAAATTATGTAGCTTCTTAAATTTTACGTATTTTAAATAATACGTCAACGAAAGTTTTTTTAATTGGAGTTGCCAGCTATAGAAAAATAATTTTTTTGCATTTTTCTAGATGTAAATTAACTGCAATAAATTTTGTGATAGTTTTTGAAGTTTAATACGTAATATTTTTCTGATTGTTGCCACCTTCTTTAAAAATTAATGTGGATATACGAAAAAGTTAAATTTTTATTTTTAGCAGTGAAATGTGTGACTATTTTGTGTATGGCAATATTCACCAATTGTTGTGAATAAAAGAAAATATAAATAAATAAAAAACAGTTGCCTACCTGCCAACTGTGATCAATTTTAAATTGCAGGGTTGCCACAAAATAAATTTTTTTAATATTTACTTATATTTTTTAAATTCATTTTTGTTGTTATTGGAGCCTTTGCTGTAAATGATTTTAATTTCAAATTATTCAAAGCTTTTCCTGTTTTTATTTTAACTTTTCTTAATTTTCTGCTTAGTGCTTTACTTGTTGTTATTATAATTAATAATATATTAGTTGTTGTTGTTGTTGTTGTTGCATTTGTCGAAATTTATGTAAACACCCCCCCACCCTCTTTACTTAACTACCAGCCCAAGCGTAAAATTCATTTATTGGTACAATTCTGTAATCATAATGAAAATTTACGCGTGCATAATGAGCAACGGCAACAACCATAGCCAACAGCGAAAGCTGGCAACAGTGTATACGAATAAGTCCACCATTCAGTGCTTTTGTTGTAAAGTTTGAGTACGAACTGTGTGAGTTCACTACGCACCCACCCGACCAATGCTCATTAACATAAGCAACAATTACAAATAAAATTACTACGAAATTACAGCAACAATATGGCCATGCCAACACAAATTGGCAGCATGAAAAATCACTCAAGTAGCAATTAAAGTTTACTGCAATGCCCTTCGCCAACCATTTCCATCCATTCTCAGCGCTTCCGCTTGCTCGCTGTTTCACTGTCTCGCTAATTTCACTAGCCGGGTGGGAAAAAAAACTCTCGAATACCGTTACATTTTTAATGAGCCAAGTACAACAACAACAACAAAATGTGTGCCAGTTAGCCGGTCAGTTGACTAGGCAAGTGAGTGGAGTGGATTGAGGGCAGCGTGGTGCGCTATTGATGCCCTAACGTGATGACCTGCCCTTCGTGGCACTTTTACTGCGGTAAATATGTAAAATACAAATATGTATATGTATGTGTGTATGAGTTTCGCGGAAATTGGTCTTGCTCCAACAACTAAATATGCTTTAGAAACTTTTAATTATTATAATTTTTTTTTGAATTCAACATTTAACTGCTTAATAATTAGTCAACTGGAATATGAAGTTTGAGTTGTTGTTGTTGTTTTGTTTTTCATGCATTTATTGGTACTTACCGGTACAAATCATATCACCAATTCGATAGGGTGGCAAATCCGCACATAAATGCATACCAGAGTCACCGGGCTTGGAACAAATGTAGTCCTGCTCCTTGGAGAATTCGTAGTAATTGGAGAAACTAGAGTTTGATTTTTTTTTTTTTGTAGTTAGTAGTAGTAGTTGTTGTAATGATAATTTGTTCCGTGGTGATGGGTAGTTGTTTTGATTTTTTGACATGTTTCGAGCGTTGATAGAGTTGTTTTTGTAGTTGTAGTAGTAATTTGCGTAGAAATCAAAATAAAAATTTGATTTGTTTATGTTTTTGTTGATTAATGATAATTTTTATTATTTTTATTTTTTTTTGGTGTGTTGTTTAATTGGAAATTTATTGCGTGTGTATAATTATGGTTAGTAAACAAATAAATGCAAATAAAAAATAATTTTATAATTTAAAAATATTTTGTAAAAGAATATTAAAAGTCGTTAAAACAAAGAATGGAATTATTTTTTTAGTATATTTAAAAAAAAAAAATTTCAATGAAAAAAGTTAAAAAAATTAGAATTTTTTTTTTTATTTTTTTTTTCATTTATAGTTTAAAAAAAAATGAATATGTAGTTTCAATAGTAAATGAAAGTGATAAAAATATAAAATAGGATTTTTTGGTTTAGATATTAATTTGAATAAATTTTTATAGGGGATTTTTTATAAGAAGAATACACATAATATTATGAATTAATTTATATTAGATTTGATTTTGATTTTAGTTTCCATTTTTATTTTTAAATTTGGAAAAAATAGTTAATTTTAATTTTAAATTTTAAGGTAATTTTTTTGTATTTTTATTTTATGAGTTAAATGTATTTCCAAAAGTAAAAACAAAAATTAGTAAATAATTTTTATAATTTTGTATTATATTTTTTTGGAAGATTTTTTTTTATAATTTAATAATTAACAAAAATTTATTAACAAATTTGGGTTTATGATTTTTTTATTTCGTTTTATTGTTTTAAATTTTTCATTTCAATTATTTTTCGTTTGGTTTAGAAGTAAATATATTAAACAACATATTTGAAACATATTTGGTTTATATTTTATAATAAATATTTATTATATTTAAGAAATATTTATAAGATGTTTCGATGAGTTTAAAAATTTTTTTACAATTTTTATTTAATTAAAACAAATATTTTCAATTTGTGTATGTTTTTAATAATTAAATAGTTAATTTAATTTTTTTTTTAAATTATATTTTTAATTTTGTTTATGTATTTGTAATTAAAAAGTGATATTATTTTATTATATATTATTAAATTTATAATTTTGCATTATACCGATTTTTTTTATTTTTTATATTAATTTTTTTTTAATTTTTTTACACCAATATTTGTTTTTGTTTTATAAATTTGAAAAATATTAAAAATAAAATATTTTTAAATAATATATTATATTAGTTTTGTAAGTTCATGTTTATGGATCAAAATTATATGGAATACAAATTTTTTAATATTGGAAATATTCGTTATTTCAAAACATAAAGTGAAATTTTGACATTTAATTTTTCATTCATTTAAGGATTTTTTTTTTAATTTAATTCATTATTTGTCAATTTTTTTTCATTTATTTATGAAGTTATTGACAATAAATTTATTGTTTTTTTTTTGGTTTTAACATTGTCATAAAACAGAGAAAATTTTTCCACATATATTGAAATTTTTCGGTTTAATTTTGTTTGGAAATCATTTTTATTTTTTTTTTATATTTTTTTTTTTAATTCAAATTGAATATATTTAAAAATATTTAAGGCAATAGGAGTGCATTTTAAATTCATTTTCATTAATGTTTTATTTCGAAATTGGTTTTGGTTCATTTTATTTAAATAAAGAAAATAATTTGTTGTTCAGAAAAGTAATTTTAAACAATTTGATTTATTTTTATTTTTGTTTCAGTTGTTTATAGTTAAAAAATTTGTTTTATTTTCATTTTTTTATATTTGTAGAATGATTTTTCAAAATCGAAAAATGTTTAAGTTTTATTTATAATATATTTAATTTCATTATGTTTCGTATATTGATATATTTATCGGCATATTTGAAACAATTTAATTTTTTTATGTGATTTTGGTATTTGTATAAGATTTAATTTAATATTTATTAACCGAAATTATATTTTGACGTAATTTAAAATAATTTCAAATGTAATTTCAATAAAAAATATATTAAAAAAAAATATATATAGAAAAATTCGTTAGTATTTTTTTCCAGTGTATGACAATTGCATTAATTTTTTATACGGATTGTTTATTTTGAATATGCAGTGTTTGTGGTTGTATTATATTGTGAGAGTGAGTATGAGAGAAGAGAAAAAATACATACAAAAAAGAGACATTTAGTAAATCACAATATTTATATAAATATTTTATATAAAAATTTGCATATTCAAGACATTTCATAACATTTATTCAGACACGTAGAGACAATTTGCAATGAATGAGTAGAGAAGAGAGAGTTGAGTCGAGTTTTTGTTATTGATTGAAAGCGAAAATTGATAGCTGGATAAGGAAAAGTGACAGGAGAAATGACAGCGAAAATTCAGTTAAGGCGAGCGCGAGCAAAGAAAAATATTTAAAATGAAAATGCAGATGGAAATTTAGACTAAAATTTACTATATAAAAAAAAAATACGCTAAATGTAACAGCGAATGTATTGAAAATGACATATTTTCAGTTGTCAGCGTTGATGGAGTGAGTGTGAAAAAATATTACTTGAAATCGAGTTACTAATAATATTTAAATAAAATTAGAATGACGTTTGTTTTTTTAGTAATAAAAGGAATTGAGTGAAAATAATGACTCAAAATAATAATATTTTCTGAAGGAAAAGATAAAAGACTTTTCATTTAAAATTAATAAAAATGTTGCAAAAAGATATTTTAATTAATTTCAAGCCTTGAGGGGCTTTAAAGTTAATGTGTAAAAATAAATATTAGCGAAACAATCATTAAAAAATTAGAAAAGATTTAAGAATCATTAAACTCATAACAAGTCATCGCTCATGACTACTTTTGTGTGACTAATGACTGATTTATTTGGAAAGACATAATGAAATTGGTTGAAATTTTTTTGAGTGTAAGTTCGAGTTGAAATCGTGTGATCCGATGCATGTCTGAGCTACTTTTTAGTTTTAGTGTAATAATAAGTGTTAAATTCATTTTATGCACCTAAAGTGCTTGTGTGAGTTACAAATTATTGAGTTTAAAATATGTTTGTAATATTTCGTGTTAGTATTATGTAGAGAGATAATTTATACAGTGAAGTAAAGAAAGCTGATAGTGAGTATAAGTAGAGAAAAGAAAAAGCGAGACAAATACAGAAATTTTGAGTATAAAATGGTGCGAAATAATACTTAAACAGATAGAATGAGTAAATTTATAAAAAAAAATATCTACGCAAGCAAGGCTTACTTATTTATATTGCTAAAAACATCAAGATGAGCTAATTTGAAATTATATGATTAACAGTGAAGTCGTTTGAGTGGAAGAGAAAAAATATTTTGGAAATTTGTATACTAAGAAGCAGAGAAAGCGATAGTTAACGTAAGAATAGAGTAGTAAAATGAATTTAATATTACGCCCTAAGTAATGAAATTAAGGTTAAACTGAACTTGTGAAACGTGATACGAAATGATTCCGGTGTAATGATATTATCGCGTGAAATAGGAGTGAAGAAAACCGATAAATTGTTGGAGGAGCTCGGCCGAAAATCGCTTCAGCGGTTACAAAGTGCCAAATAGATACATATATATATATATATATATATATATATACGGGCATTTGAAACAAAGATGCTCTATTAAAAATCCTACACCGAACTCGAAACACTGTCAATTTGAAATATATTATTGGGAGTGAAGTGAGCAATTGAAGTTTGCACTGGGGAGCGTATTTTTTTATAAACACAACTCCTTGAGCTCACAGAGTATAGCTGATTTTAGTGCTATGGACAGGGAAACTTTTAATGAACTTGTGAAACAAATATTTTGTACTTAATAACCTCAGCTGAAAAAGAAATGTTCTTCACATGAACATGTGGAACATGACTTTCTATTTAAAACAATACACTGAACTTGTGGTACATTGAATTGGAAACAATTGAGCGGAATTGTATTATTGAGTGAAATGTCGAGTGAAGAAAAAAGTCTAGCTCAAACTCTAACAATATATAACTATGTATCAATTTTTTTTGTAGGTTATTAACTTGTGAAATACAAGTCTTTTAAATTGAAAATATTTTATATTATAAACATGTGAAGCTTAAACGCATAATGAAAATCCTTAAACTGAACTAGTGAAATACCCTAAAGGAAAATGTTTAATTGATTGAATGGCACAGAAAATAATAGATATATACATGTTTTGAATATTGTGAACATCTGAAACACAACTCGTTGAGCTGAAACAGCTGTTACGAAATTGTCCTATTAAATGTTGTATGAAAATCCATGAACTTGTGAAACACTACTATCAACGACCAAGTACAACAGGTAAAACTTTTCGAATTATGGACATGTGAAACATTGGCGCTCTAGATTTCTCAGAGACATTTCAGCATATTCTAGATATGTATTGAAAGTATCATCTCCTGAAGAACGAATTGTGAAAAGTTTATGCGTAATGCGTTATGTAAAATTTATTCATGAATTTTTTGCCGAAATTTCATGAATGATTGAGTATTTGTAAAAATGAGGTTGTATTTCTTTTTTAAATACTAGTAACTGACTTAAAAGGTTTGGAGTTTTTATGTCGTAATTTTTAAATATTTTATTTATTTAAAACATTTTTTTTTTATAAAATTTAAAGGATTATTTATTTTTTATATATTTATTAGGAAGTATACTTATATTCGAGTGTTTGCGACCTTCTGTGGTCATTTAAGTACTGTGGTTGAGTATATATTTGAGTACATGGGTTATATATGCATACATATTGAAGAAGAACAAACTAATTTTTGTTTTCAAATTCAAAGGTAGCTTTAAATACCTTCCCAAGAGAAAATGATGATTTTTCCTGCAAAAAGAACAAGCGCATTCATGTGAGTGCTCTTTGGCGTTAAGCAAAAATGAAAATAAATAATTTGCAGCATCTACGGGTCTAAGAGGGTATGGAGCGTTGCGGAGGTGCTAAACGTTATTTGGCATATATACTATTGTATATTTAGGTGGCAGGGAGAACGAAGGGACCATTTTCTGGTATGAACTCTGGTACTAAAAATTTGCTTTCCTAATTAATAAATAAGAAGGGACTTGCTTATGTTGGGTGAATAGCTTATTATTTTTGTATTCGAACAGTACTATGGAGGTTTGAGGGTGTTTTTATATTATGTTTTAAGAAACAAAATTTTTCATACAAAAATTAATAAGTTAATTTCGTAAAAAAGGCATAAACTAATATGCTTCCAATAAAATGCAAGATGACGGAAAAAAGTATTGATACAAAACTGAGTAGAAAATTATGAACTTGTGAACACTTGCTCGTTCGTATAATTTTGAGATTTCCAGAAATGAGGTATAGATTCTTACACAATTTTAGTTGAAAGAACGGGAGTTTGAAAAAGTAGAAGAATTAAAATTTTAAATCAGCTCTGATATAAAAGTAATAAAAAATTAATTATTCGACTTCATAATGCGCAAATAATACGTGTTTGAAAATAGTAGTAGATGAATTTGTTATTAAAAATAGTTTATGTATTTCTAAATAGCATTAGATGCCAATAGAGAATTATTCCAAAAGTTGTTAAAGCCAACTTAATTGTTTTTTAAAATAGTAGTAGTTTAATTTTTTCTTTAGGAAATCTATTTGCAGTTTAAATAGAAAGAGAAAGCGTAATAAAACAAGTTGTTAGCTGTTTTATAATTGTTAACAGTAGTTTTGAAAATAGTAGTAGATAACTTTCTAATGCCGAATAGTATTTTTTAGTCATCTAAAGCATAACAGATTAAAAGCAAATAAATGAGCGAATTACAAAATGCAGCAATAGTATTTTTGAAGAAAAAGTAGTTTAAGAAAATATTTATTTTCAGTCATCTGCAGTTTGAGAACCAGCTGAGATATGCAAATTATTTTATAAAAAAGTATTTTTTAAAATAGTAGACCGTTAAAAAATTTAATGAAAAATAATTTTGAGAAAGTATAAAGAATCAATTTAAAAATATGTACTCTTAATTGGGTATGTTATGTTGGAAAACAGTTGTTAAACTTTCTGAAAGCAAATCAAAGTATTTTTGAAAAAAGTAGCAGAAGAGATGCTGTTAAAAGTAGATTATGGTATAAATAGCATCTTTGGGTAATTTTATTTTCAGAAGCTGTATGAAGCATGTTATAGGCTCGCTGGTATTATGCTCGTGAAAAAGGAATATAAAGAATTAAAATTAAATAAAAAACTATATAAGCGCTTGAAAAATGTAGTAAACTTTTTTTTTCATTATTTTAAAAAAAAGTAGCAGATAAAGTCATTTTAAATCTTTTAAACGTCAAATAAAATAGTGTTTAAAATAGTAGTAGAAAAATTGCTTGTAAAAAAATAATATTTTTAGTCTTGTGTAGGTATGAAAGCTGCTTGAATAATATTGCAAGTTTTAAACATGTGTTCAACAGGTCATATGAAGTGTTTTTGAAAATAGTAGTAGACCAATTTGCTTAAAAAAAGTAGCTGTAATTTTGGAAATTAAAGAAATTGTGTCCAGAGTTAAAATAAAACGGATTTCTAAGAATAGTAGTAGCTAAGTTTTTTTCCGAAAAAATTTCTCAACGGGCAGGCAGCTATTAATTTGCAATATTAAAACATTTAAAAATGAAATACATTTGAACTTAGTTTTGCTAAAGAGGAGGAAGGTGTATAAGTTGTAGTACCGTTAACGTGATTAGGTTTGTAATCCCAATAGTGAGTAAATTAGTAGTATTAATATGGACTAAATTTTAATTTAGTAGTAATTTTAGTACTATTTTTCAGAAAGACTGTGGTTTTGTTGTCGGAATGTCAAAAGTAAGTAAGTTAGTAGTATTTAATATAAGATAATTGAATGTTGGTGAAATTTTTAACACTCCTTTTAATATATTTATTTTATATTTGTATGTGTGTATGATGTCGCTATTTGTTTATGCAAGAAAGTAGCTAGTTGAGTATGTAGAAATATGTATATATAGTATAAAATGCACATTAATACTTATGCACAAAATAGTAGTAGATTATAGTAGTGCCCACTATATTAGCAACTATTAATTTTAATACATTTATATTTGTAGGTGTAGTTAACAGGAGTATAAGTAGTGGAAGTAGTAGTAGTAGTCGGAGTAGTAATAGTAGTAGTAGAATTAGTAGTAGCAAAAATGTACTAGGTAGTATTTAGAGAGAACACGCTGACTCTAAAAGGCATTGGCAATACTATTAAAGATATATATATTTATGTATATCAAACTATATTTTGTTGTTTCTTTTAGTATATTTTTGGAAATTTTGTTTTTTGGTTTTTATATTTATTTACTTTCATTATGCTTATTTGTTTTTTGTTTAACATAAATACAAGTAAAGAAAGAAATTGGATTTTATCTTACGAGTTAACACGGACTCGAACTCTGTACTCTTTGGGTAGGTCCCTGTAAACAAAAAAACCCGTTTGATTTTTGAATTTTTTGTATTTTTCAATGTTTTTTTGTTGTAATTGTAGTTGTATTTGGTTGTTAGGTATTAATTATTTTTTCGCAAGGGTTGGTGAAGGTGGGTTCAGCTATGATTTGGTTTTTGTTTTTGTATTTTCAAGGTTGGGCGATTAAATATAGTATGTTGGATTGAGGTGAGGGAGTGAAAGAGAATTAAGTGTGAGCAGAGCGGATCTGAGGAGATAGAGCTAAATTAAGTGAGATGAAGAGAGAGAAGGAATAAAATATGTTTTTGAAAAACAGATTCGATTCTCCGTTTACATGTATAGAGTTCTTGGTAGTTGAGAGAACGTAAGAAAAGTGTGGAAAGAAGGAGAGAGCATGATTTGATCGTGTTGATATATACTATTCAAGGCGAAATATAACGCACATTGATATGAGATTGGCAGGACTTCTTACGTACATACCGCTGGGAGCTTAGTGGGAGCTTCAAATCTAAATATTTTATGAGCGGGCTCAGTGAGAGTGTGACTGTATGTAGGTGAGATAGCGCATAGAAGTAAGAGAGCAGTGTAGTAAGTAAAAGAGCGCACAATGCTGATGGTGAGGACAGTAGGGATTGAATAATAGTAAATTGGGTGATTGAAGTATAGGTTTCAAAATATTTTTTGAATTTATTAAATATTTTTTCCAAATATAAACTTTTAACTGCATTTAAATATAAAATTTCAGGGGCAATAAATTTTCATTATATACAGCCGAATGAATACATTTATATACACATGTGAGTAAATACAGCACAATTATACATAATTTTAAATAAAATATTTATATGTATCAATTTTAAAATAGATTTAAATAAAGCGCGATTTAATGAAAATTATGATTTTTTTCATTTTCAAAAGCTGAAAAAAGTTATTTTCGTATGAATAAATTAAAGAGTTTCTTAAAAATTTAAAATAATAATTTTTATGTGGAAAAAAATTAATTTCATAATAAATGTTAGGAGATAAGCTATATTTTATTGTTTTTTATAACAACGCTGTTTTTGTTCTGAATATTAAAACATTTATTGATGAGTCAAAAAAAGCTAAAAAGAATATAAATAGATTTTTTATTGTTTATTTAAAAAAATATTTATTTTTTAAATAAAAAATTCCATTGAAACCATATTAAGAAAGTCGCTGTCATTATAACATGTATTTGTCTATAGCAAATTTATTAATTTTTTGAAGGATTATCATATTTAAATTTTTTTCGTTTTAGTTTTTATTTTTTTCTTATTTCATTTTCCAATTTTTTTTTGCCGAGAAGAAAAGGTTAGCAATATGCAGCAGTTTTTTCAAGTCGTATTATAATAGGGCAACATTTTTTGGGAAAAGAAAACGCGCTTATTTCGATCCAAGAGATTTAAAAATAATATTTTTTGCTAAATTTCCTGCCTCATAATAGGACTACACTAATGTGAGAAAAGAAAATGCATATAAACTGTTCGAATTGTTTGTATCTTAAACATTTACAATAAAAACAATCCAAAATAGTTTTCGACGGGTTCGGTTCGTATGAACCGAGCAAGTCTAAGCGATTTTACTTTAGGACTTTTTTTCTCTTTAATGTGTTTTACTTTACTTGATGTATTCGCCACCCAAATAATCCTAAATTAATACTTTTAAAGTTGCTTCTCCAAATTTTACTATTATATCAAAAATTTTTTAATTAAATTTTATTTAATAAATTATATTTGATATTTTTTTTAAAATATTTTTAAAACCGATTTTGTGCAATTTTTTCTTTGTTGTGCTGTCGGTGTGTGAGTATAAAGTTTTTTATTTTAAAGTTTTTCTCTTTAATTTGAAAAAAAAAAATCGTGCAGAGTTTCAACTATTTCTCTCAATGCGCGTGTATTTACAGTTGGCTCGTGATAAGTCGAGATCTTGTAAGCGTTTTTGCGGAAGCATAGTTATGTGTAAGCAGCCGTGTGCGTCGAAGGGAAAGAAGGTACATTTTTTTTAATTTCGATGAAACTTAAATAGAGAATTTAAAAAAAAAATCCTGTAAATTAAGATAATATTAAAATAAAAAGGGGCAAACAATTAAATTAATAAAAATTTATGTTAAAGTATAAGAACTAAAATAGAATATGAGAAAAAACAACAACATTGTTAAACAGCAACGAAAACACCTCTCTATAGTGGTATATTTTTTTAATTTCTATAAAACTTTCAACTTGATATCAATATGTGAATATTAATCTTATTCAACAGATTAAAAAATACATATACACTCATTGAATATTCATATATATTTGTATATTGTTAAATTGACCTATTCTCTAATTCTAAGTATGATTTAAATTAACTAAAATTGTTTAAAAATTTCCCAGCAACAAAATTTTTATAAAACCATATATAAAATTTATTAATTATATATTATTATTTATTAAAAACATAAAATGCTGAATTAACTAAATAAAATTAAATAATAATAAGAAATATTTTTTAATTATTTTGGATTATTTTTATAATTAAAATAAATTTTTTTAATTTAATACAAATATAATCATAGATAATAAACCATAAGAAAAACAAATTTAATTAACTCTTTTCAGTTTTAAATTCAATAAAAAAATGTTAATAATTATTAAGTAATAACAAAAATAGTTTTTAAACAAATTTTATTAATTTTAGAATTACATTTAATTCTTTAAATTTAATAAAAAATTAGAGTTAATAAAAATTAATAAAAATAAATTTAACTAATTTTTTTAGTTTCAAATTCAATAAAAATATGTTAATAATTATTGAATAATAATTATTAAAATATTATTAATTGATTTTTTAACTAAATTAAATATTTTGATTTCTTAAAAAAATTTATTGTAGTTATTAATTATTATTCAAAAATAGTTTTTAAGCAATTTATAATTATTTAATAATTACAAAATATTTGATTTGAAAACAGTATAAGCTAATCAAAGATTTTTAAAAGTTTGAGAATTTCAAAATGTAATAAATATTTATGAAAACTTGGCAAAACATGTCTTCGGAAATTTTTGAGCATCTTATTGAAGGCTTTTATAAAACATAATATATTGAAAAATCATACTCAAATAAATACTGTTATTATTGAATCTCTTGAGTTTCGCACAGCGAAAATTGGCAACGGCGCAGGCATGATATAAAAAAATATTATATATTTATAAAGCAGTAACGATGATGTATTTTAGTTATATGCAGCAGGTAAAACTTTTAAATACTCTGCAGTGAACGAAAACCCAATAGCTGGGAAAGTAAAAGAAAAAAACGCCTTGAAAAAATTTTTCAACGTTGCCGGAACTGCTTGTTATAAAAAAATAAATATTATGTACATGATTGATATTTATATAAAAGTAAAACGTCCGGGAATTTATTTTAGTTCTTGCGAAAAAGTTTTAGTTGTATATTTTTTTCTTTGATAAGGTATGCGAAATGAAAATTGGCAACATTGCATCGAAACTTTCCAAGCATAATTTGTAAAATATAGTGCATTGCTATGTACATTTTTATATATTCGGAAAAGAATAAATAGCAAGAGGTCGGAAATTAGTCGGCTAAACCTTTGAAAAAATTGATGACATTGCATTAACCATAATTAAAAACACGTTAATTGTAATAATTTAATTTCTTTATATAAAATGGCATTTTTATGAATGTGATAAAATGCGCACATTCCAGAAGTTTTTTCATGGTTGAGCTAAAAGAGGTTTGTAGAGAAGGAAAATTGGCAACGTTGATGTCAACGTCACACGGTATCCCAGTGCAAATAATGTTATATAACATAAGGAGGCAATTATGAAAAGAAATTGCCTTGTGGAGGGATTTTATATCATTAGATGTAGAAAATTGTGCTCAAATTGACCGAGTCGATGGTGTTAAAAAACTTATTGTAGTTGAGGAAGAGAGGCAATGAGTTTTAAGGGGCTTATAATTAGTTACAAGTAAACTCAACATTACAGTAAAAAACTTTTACTGCAAACTATAAATATAATATTAATTTAATACTTCATCATATGTAAATAGCAAGACTTCTTTGAGAAAGGAAAATATGCCCTAAGCTGCTTTGAATGACAGTTCATTACAAATTAAATCATTTCATAGAAGGGCAAAATTTGAAAGTGAAAAGAAAAAAATGGTGACTTATAATCGGGCAACATTTTGCAAATTTCTTTTACAAATTTGCCTTCATATTTTGGGGAACAATTTCTAGGCCTTCTGCAACATTTCAGCGCTATTGAGTTTCGAGGGAGTGCAAGCAACCTATTTACGTACACATATATTGTATCTACAACCTGCTTATGATTATATTTTTCACCATTTTTCCTCTTCACGGCAGCATTTTCTAAATTTTTAATTTATTTACTCAACATGGCAAGTTCAAGCAGTGGCGACAGCTGGCGCTGCTAGTGGCTGTAGAGTAGAGCAGAACTGCCAAAGAGATATAGGTATGCACTTGTGTGCAATGTCTGGCACAAAGAAAGCATTACTTAAGTAAACAGCTGTATGTAGGCATATTTATATATATACACAAATATATATATATTGTTTGTAATATTATATATATGAGCCCACATATCTGCGCCTAGGTGTGTATGCGTGAGTGTGTGGTTATAATAAATGCTAAGTACTCATATGAACCACGTATTTACGAGAATGTACAAGTATGTATGAAATATTGCTACTTGGGCGCCTGGAATCTGCAACTCCTACGAGGAGCCGACAGACAATATTTACCGTGCGATATAGTATATCAGTGCATATATGCATGTATATATATGTGTGTGTGTGTGTGTGAGTTGGCATAATTTACGGTTTATTTAAATAAGCTCACATGCACATACATATGTACGGCTGAGTCATAAGTGAGCCAAGGCAAATCAAGGCATGGCAAGAGAGACAGGCAGTCTCAGTCTGTCAGCCCTTAAAGGTTGATAGCAACAATTATATACTCGTTAATGCGGCGCAGTAGTGGAGGATGGTAAGCAAAGAAGTCAGTAAGTAATTAATTTGCATATTAAAAACAACAACAGCAACAACAATGAATGCTTTCAGCGCCATTTATCATTTTTATTATGCATAAAAAATTTCCAGAGATTTCATTTAATTTGATTTTTTTACTAAAAAAAATCAATAAATTTTAAATATAAATTACACATATATATACTCGAATGTATATAACATATATAAATAAATAAATATTAATGTCATTTCATCGATTGCCAACACGTCTGCTGAACTTCTCAGACGTGCTTAGTATAATAAATATATTTGGTGCTCTGTTGCACTACTTCACGCGCTGAGTGGCAGTTAAGCTTCGCACTCTGGAGTCGGTCGCTCATTTGCCTTTGTCGCTGGCGGCATGTGAAAGTCACTTGTGGCCTCAGTCGTTTGGTAATTTGCTACAGCTTAGTGCAGCACTGACAGTCGAGTTGACAGCTGACATTTCAATTGTGAGAGTTGGTAATGTGGTAATTTGCATAAAATGCCGGAGTCAATAATACGCCTGGGTGTTGCTGATGTCTGCGCGTCGAATGAATGTGGCGAAGTACGCATGTGTCAAAGGAACATTTTTTTTTTACTTCTTGTGCTTGGAATTACTAGCAAATATTTATGTTAAGACATTTTTCTTTTTTTTTAAGTCGATACTTCGAAGTAAGGGCTATAGGCGCTCTGTGCATGAGGGCAAGGAAATATGGTTGAACGAAGCGGGTTGATCTTTTGTGAAAGCCCTTTGAGACTTCGTTCAAAGCCCAGACTATTTTTCGAGGCACTGTAAACCTTGCAGAATGTTAAGCTTGTTCCATCCTCCCAAGGACTCTCTTTGGTACTGTTTAACTTCGTCTTTTTTTGGAACCAATAACTACAGAACTTCATGGAGATTTCTCTTCAGCTGATGACGTGGTAGGATAGTTATACAATTTAAGCAACAGAACTTAGTTCATAGTAAGCCTAAAGGGTACATTTTTCTGAGATTTGCGCGACGATTGATAGTTCTCATTATCTTTAGTACATATTTTTTTGTTGATAATTTGAGGTCAAGAGGAGCTAATTATACATTTTTATTTTTGCAGACGAATAAGGAGATTTTTTTTTTATTCTAAGGGACCTCCGGTAAGCAAAACTTCAGTTCTTTCGGCTTACAGAATTCATTATCATCATTTTTTCACGAGAGTACTAAAAGGGATGAAGCTACTGATGCGTTGTAGTGATGGATGATTGCACAGGGTTCGAGCTGTGCCAGTCAGATTCCCTACCAAAGGTATAAGGCGTGATTTAGTGAGTGCTAGAAGGTTTATCAATTTTTCAGTTTCGATTCTACCTCAGCCAGAGGGGTTTTACGAAAGGAAGTAGTCTTAAGCACACTAGAAGTGCGTTTAAACCCGTTTAAACAAGTATAGTAAGCACTAAAGTTTGCTTCCAGAAATTGCACACTCTTATAGCCTCCCTGTTTAGCTATTCTGACCGGAGTCCTAGAGAGGTGTATTTGTGATCTATCCATAGATCGAGAGATCTACGACTGGTAGCTTAGAAAATCATAGCCATTCTTGTGAATAATTTTAAACGAACTATTAAGACCTCAAAACTAAACGAAAAAAGTTTTCAAAGATTTTTCTTTAAGAGCCGTTGTTTTTAAAAATACGAAAGCTTTTGCCAAAAGTTCCAATAACTAAAGCTTTTCTTTTCATATTATGATATAATAAAAGTTATAAAAAGTTAAAATTTAAAAATATTAAAAAAATTTTGAAAATAATATAAAAAAATACAAGTAAATCAAAATAAATAAAATTCAAATAAAATAAAATAAAATAAAATAAAATAAAATAAAATAAAATAAAATAAAATAAAATAAAATAAAATAAAATAAAATAAAATAAAATAAAATAAATAAAATAAAATAAAGCAAGATAAAAAGAACAAGGCAAATTAAAGTAAAATAGAAAATAACAGAATATATTTATTTGCTCAAACATATATAACGAGTTAAATTGAAAAGAAATTAAATTATACAAAAAACTAATGACATTCTAATTACAAATAAATATAAATTCTATTGGAACTGGAGTCCAGTATTGGAGTATAACATAAGGTTCAAATATTGAAATATTTTTCTTATCTAGTAATTTCTACAAAAATCTCTACAAAAGCTTACACCTCTGCACTAATTACTTCCAGTTGCCTCTTAAATATTTTTTTTAATTTTGCTTATAAAAATTTAACGCTATGTACATTGATTTACAATTTTCATCAAGATATTACACTGTATTAAAAAAAAATGCTGTATATATAAAATATAATAATTTATATGAAAAGCGTAAAAGCAGAAATTTGCCTTAGTAAGCAGAAGCTAAAGCAGAAAGCTTAGTAAAAACCCATGTTAAAAAAAAATAAAATAATTAGACAAACGTTGCAGTAGTAGTAGTAGTAAGTAGTAGCAATGCGGAAAGAGAAAAGTTATTATTTTTTGAAAAATTCAATTTAGTAAAATTTCAATTTTTTTTTTGGAAATCACATTTAAATAGAATATTGACTGTGTACTTACGGAAAATTTTCGACTGGCATTTGTACAACAAAACAACGCTGACGCAGTATGCCCTGCCACAGTTGAACGCCAATAATGCCGAATATGAAGAAGACAAAGAAACAGAGAAGCAGTACATTGCCGAGCATAGGCAGCGTGTCCAGCAGCAACATGACCAAAATGCGCATACCTAGAGGGAAGAGAGAGAGAGATAGATTGGGTGTTTTAAAATAAAGTACTGTAAAGAGATACAGTTAAAAAAAAAGTTATAATAATTCAAAGTTATACAAAATTTTTTTGCTATTCATTCAAATGGTTGCGTATACGCACTGTCGAACCTATCATTTCCATTGCATTTTTTTTCTTTTCGACTATTTCACTTCTTCTTCGTCTTCACTTACTTGGTATGCGATTAATCGCACGCAATGGTCGCAACACTCTTATCGTTCGTATCGCTGTTAAATTTAAATTTTCCACATTTGTCACATATTCCAGTAGACCAGCAACAACTATAAAGAAATCCAAGCGATTCCAAGAATCAGCCATATACGTATTTTTGCCATATAAACCCATCGCTATGGTTTTGATGAGCATCTCTAGCGCGAAGAAGACGAAAATCAAATCGTCAAAGAACTGGAAAAAATGAAAAGGAGAGTTTTATTAAATATATGGTTTTGGGTTTTTTGAAATTAAATTTTATGTACAAAATTTTTATTTAAATGTTTTATGAAAATCTTGTAGTTTAATAAAATTTCTGAGTTATATTTTTATTAAAAAAAATTATTTATATTTTTAATATATAATTTTTGACTAAAAAAATGTACACTTATTTTGAAAAAATATTTTTATATATGTTATTAAAGCGTTAAATTTTCAATCAAATATGTAAGATATGTATGTTTCTTATAAATTTTGTTTAGCATACTGCCTTTGATAACTTACAACTGAAAGAATTTTTTTTAAATTTATTGTTTTTTTAGTTTTAAACAGTTTTTAGTAACAAGAAAATATAAATTAATTTCTTTTAGGCTTTACTTTATTTTTTTAAACTTAATTTTTTAATATTTAATGCTTAATTAAACAAATTTGAAATAATTAAATTTAATTTAATATATAATTTAGTTCAACTCATAGTTTAATTTGAATTATATTCAGTTTAATTTTTACTCTAATTGTAGTTTATTAATCAAATTTGTTATAAATAATTAAATAGTTGGATTATTTTGAAATGAAATTTTAATTAAAATTTAATTACACATTAGTTTGTTTAATATTTTACATTTATAGTAGGAAAGTAATTTTTTTTGAGAACTTAAAGTATTTATTTGAATTATTTTTTGCAAATTTTTTTTTTATATTTTCGGTTTTCGTTTACCACAGTTAAGCAAAATTTAAATAACAAAAAATAACGTATTTTTTTATTTCTTTTTTATATAAGTAAAATTTTTAAGTATCATTTCAACATTCGTTTGACCATTAAATGCATTTCAATGAAAATGCATTCATATATTGTATTTCTCATATAAGTATGCATACAATAATAATTTTATTTCTCCCACATACATTTTCCATTTCAACAACAAAATGACACTTGAAATTCACTCACGAAAAGACGCCACAATGTCAATTGCATTCATAATAAAATTCTACAACAATTCAATTGTGCACTTTTCACTACTGAAACCACTACAGATAAACAGAAAGCAAAGCAAATGGTATTTTCTAAACAATAAAACAAAAACTCAATTGCAGCAGAACACACATGCACACACACACACCCGCACAGACGCACAGACGCACGTAAATGAAATATAATATAAAATGTGACTTTATGATATTATTGAGAGGAAGAATATGATGCACTTAAGTATATTTTCTATTTCTTTATTATTTGAGTTTGTGCGTTTGTATGTTTGTGCTGGTCTCAAATTGCACTCTTAGTTGTTTAGTTTAACCGCAAAATATAAAAGCTTTCATTGCACATGGCTTTTCACTTAAATATACAATATAAATAAGAATAGTTGAAATGTATTTTATGTAACATAAATAAATATAAGGAATACATACGTGGTTTTATCAATATGTATATGTATGTGTGTATGTGCCCGTATATATATATATATATATGTAAATAAATGTTAGTGTACGTGCTCTAAGACGTTTGAAAAAGTGTAAGTTTTCCATAATCTTGGTTATGAATATTTTTTAAAAAGGTTTATGGTCAGATTGATGGCTGAAATGTTTTCTTTTTTTATTTAATTTATTGACATTAATTATTTTATGTTATTTTGTGCTATTTTATTATTTTATTTTTATTTTTTTCAATTCCTTTTATTTTAATTACTTTCAATTTAATTTAAGCTTATTTTAAATTTATATATTTAATTTAATTTTTTATGTTATTTCCTTTCATTATTTTTTTTATGCGCTATTTTATTTAAGTTTATTAAAATTTGCCTTAAATACATAACATTTCAATAACCAAATTTTATTTAATTTCACTGATTTTTTTTAAACCATTTTGTCTTATTTTATTTTATCTTATATTATTTAATTTTTTTTGGTTTGTTTTATTTTGCTCTGCTTTGATTTATTTGATTATATTAATTTTTTTTTATTTATTTAAATTAATTTAATTTCATTTTTTACTTTATTCTATTTTATTTATTTTAATAAAATAAACATTATATCAAATTTAGTATGACTAAATTATATTAAATTAATTTAATTTACATTCTTTTTATTTTCTATTAATTTTATGTTATTTATTTTATTTTTATTATTTGTGTTACATTTAATTAACTTATTTTATTTTCAATTTTTTTTTTAATTTTATAACATTTTATTTAGTTTAATTTTTTTTTAATTTAATTTTTTTTATCTTTATTTATTTTTAATTAGCTTAAATTAATTTTTTATATAAGTGAATTTTATTTAATTTTTTTTTGTTTTGATTATTTTATTTTTACTGTTGTATGCAGCTCTAAGCGGGAAGAAGTTTTCCTAAGAAATGTGGATATCACAAGGTTATTTGCATCTGAGCAACAAGCTTTTTTCCGAGGCATCACAGAATCTATAGATTTAGGTATGATGCAGGGGCATGATTTGTAAAGAGAGGGATTTTTATGTTGGAAAGAGCAGGCAGGTTTTGAGTTTGTGCATTGAATCCAATAAATGCCATTGAGTCAAAGTTCTTAGAGCATATTTTTTTCTCGTTTGATAACTGGCGATAATCATGAAGCGGCTGTGCGTGCTGGGGCAGCGAATTTCTTTTCAACCAGGTGTAATGATAAGTAGTGGATTCTTCTGCCTGGAACATCCACAGAATTGGCTCTACGCTCAGCCATAAATATTACTTCAGCTCGTTGAAATTTTGTGACCTAAGAGATCGCAAATATTTTGCAGATCTGGTTACTCAAGAAAAAAATGTGGACAGTTTAACAAACAGAACCGGTACTTATAACCAACGTCAATTTGATAACAAACATGAATTTGAGTTGGCTATGGCGGAAGAAGAAAATAAAAGAGGAGAGGTTTTTCACAGCCAATCTAATACTGGATTTTAAAACTAAGAGACTTTAATGTGGCCCATACAAATGACTTATACTTATACCTAAAAAAAATTGTTCGCTATCCTCTTCACTATCTCTTCGCTTACGCCCAGCGGCATTTGCATCTGTTTGTATCAGTTCTCCTTGCGGGCTTCCTTGCGTTGCGTGACATAGTCATTGAAATTGCAATTGAATTGTCCTTGTCATTGTTTGGTAGCATACTTAGCACATATAACTGTACATTTTTCACACTATCAACGAAAACCAAAAGCAAAAACAAGACACCACAGCTCAGTACTCAACCGATTGAGCTTTCTTGTCTTGTCGTTGCCTTTCTTTCCTTTAGCGTTTTTATTATTGTTGTTGTTGTTCTCTGCTCTCAATAACAATTTTGTTGTCATTACGTGTATATATATATGAGTGTGTGTGTGTTTTGACTGTCTGCCTGTTTGCGTTTTAAGTGCCTCGTCTAATAGTCATTTGTGGTTTTTCAAGTGCTTCTTTCTCACTCTCTGTTCCTCTCTTTAGTTGACTTTGTGCTGTTATAAAGATGGATTTCGATTTATGCATGTTGTTGCTGTTGGTTTTGTTGTATCACTACTGTTTCGTGTCTGTTTTTGTTTTACATTTTGCTTAGTGTTTTTTTCTGTTTTCCCTTCTTCTGTCACATTTTTGATTGCAATTGTTGTCAATGCCTTTGAATGCGCCGCTACGGCTCTGCTTCTCTTGTTTTTGTTTTGGTACTTGTTTTTATTCTCTACTCCTTCCTTGTCATATTTTTTGAAAGTTGTTGTTGTAATTTTTTTTCTTTTCTATTAAATGGTATGCAAAATTATTCAAAGAGAAGTGCTTAAGAAAATTATGCAAGACAGCGGAAGCAAGACGGAACTGTTGGATTTACATTTCAAAGGATGCTTGTAGTTTTTGCTCAATACCAATACGAACTTTTATATTTCGCTCTTGGGTACCATTGGTCATGAAACCAGGCGAGATTCAGATCGAGTGGGGAGATTTTGGCGAAAATTATCAAAAGAATTTCAGGTCCGAGACCGGAAGAGATTTTGAAACTGCCTTTAGAATAATTTGATATTGCAGTAAACTCACCTATTTCATGCAATTAGAGCCCAATATCACAATTACTTTCAACGGCGAAATTGTGCAATAGTTACGTATACGCACTGGCGCACTACAAAATGCATCACATTTTGAAAAATCTTCTTAATAATTTTCTTATGCATATTTATTTATTATTTTTCCTTAAGAAATATAAACGTATACTCATGCTGTATTAGGGTGAGTATTATTTTACAATTTTTATCTATTATTTTTTCCCTAAGCACTCAAAAATGTATTTTTTTTAATAGAAAAAGTACTTAATATTAATCAACCAAAATTACGTTATTTTTTTATTTTTTTTACTATATTTGCGAATATATTTACGTTCGTATTAAAAAAAAAATATTATAAAAGCTTGAGATTTTTAATATTTAGTCTTTTTTTCACTAAGCCATTTAAGCAGCAGAAATAAATAGAATATTTTTGTAGCTAACAAATCTAATGTTCTACACATCTTGCCTGCACTAGAGTTGTAATAAGCTGCCTTTTTCATAGTTGTAGCACTTTAAAGATGCATTTAATTTTAACGGAATTAAAGTTACGTATACGCACTGACGCATCAGGAAGTGTGCATCATATAACGATAATTTGCTACACAGACTTTGCATACTGATTTACTAATAGGTATATTTTTAAAGGAAAATTAATTTTATATCCAAATTATATTAGGGTGGACATTATTTTAAAATTTTTTTAATTTTTTTCGAAGTTACCTGTAATTTTTTGTGTTGTAAAAACCACAAAATGTACTAAAAACTGCAATAAAAAACATTTTATTTTTTTTTTAAACAAAGACGTTTCTAATTTTTTAAGTAAGAGATTTTTGCTTATTCAAATGGGTACTTTTTCGCACAAAACTATCTAAGCGGCAGAAGTAAACGAGCAATTGTTCTAGTAGCGCATCGAAGGCTCTTTCTTTGATTTCCCGGTGATATCGACCTGAAGTTGGAAATCTTACCACAGTCA